TAATCATTCTATTTCAAATTGAGTGTATTACGTCGTATGATACTATCGTTGCCATGATGGTGTCATACCTGTCACGCGTCATTATCTGCTCCAAAATGTATCAATTCATTTCTTTGTAATCATTTAAATAAATTTAGGGGCATAAGGATCACAATGAGGGTCAAACGTGCCATATAGAGGTCATATGAGGGTCCTAAAGGGTCATAGTAGAGTTATTAAAGGATAATATGGGGATCACATAGGAGTTACATGGAGATTATATAGGGATTATATGGGGGTCATATGAAGGTCATTTGATCCTCATGAGCCTCTTATGACCTTTGTATGACCCTCGTATGTCCCCATGTAACCCTCATGTGACTCTTATATAACCCGCATATGACCCTTATACGACTCCCACATGATCCCCATATGACCTCCATATGACCCTTTTGCCCCTCATTTTGATCCTTATAAATCCTATTGAAAATCTTATAGAATATCTTATAAAAAATCCTATAGAAAATCCTACAGAAAATGTTCGAATTCTCCATAGCATTTCCTATAGGATATTCTATGGGAAATCCTATAGGATTTTTTAAAACGTGATTTTACATAGAATCACATGGAAACATGCAAAACAGAATGTTGAAACCAAACAAGGATCAAAATAAGAGTCACGAGGGTCATGAAGATCGAAATGAGAGTTATGAAGATCAGAATAAGGGTCACAAGGGTCAGATTAAGAGTCCAAATAAGGGGCATGGGAATCAAAAACCAAGTGTCAGAAACTAAGCGTCACCAGGATCAAAATAAAGGTCACAGGGGGTATAATGAGGGTCACGAGGGTCAGAATAAGGATCACGGGGGTCATATGGGAGTTGGCGAATAGAGCGACCAGGGGGCATAGCCCCCTAGTATTATATGAAAATGGAGATTCATGAAAATCTCATTTTTATAGATATTCAGGAAAATTTATTGTTAAAGAGTCCCGATGCAATTGTGGCTGTAGTACCCCAGCAATGATGTCAATAACAGCTTCCATTCATCGATAAGAGTTTCTTTGGTAATACGTCGTCTTCACTTATGAGATCATCTTGATGAACGGCTGACATGATAGCATCAACACTTCTATTCTTATTTCTATCAGGATCATCAAAAATGACTGATGGAATCATACAAGCAATGCAAAATTTATGACATGATACGCATGACCCATCATATAACGGGTGACATGGTGTTTTTACATGTCTAGTAACTATAGACACTAGTTATAAACCTCCCAGTAAAAATCTTTTGTTTTTCAAGAGTGGGAGACATGGATACAAGTGGAAATCACGTGGAGTGGAGGTCACCAAAGGATAAATTTTACTGAAAGGCCTATATATGTGATGACAATACATGAGATGCAAAATTATAGGTAATTTTTAAATCGTGTCATATCATCAAAAAATTGCGGTAATGCGACGTACAAATTTTCTCCATATAAATCAGTAGCGAAGTGGTAAAATGGTACAAGTCAGTATTGAGTATTGACCAGTTTTCAATGAATATCTCGTTATCTAAGGGCGATAGCAAGAGTATTTTTCCGGGCTGCTGCGATAGGGTTTATTACTCGTGTGGCGTTGGCGTCCGAGCCGAAGGCGAGGACTAGCCAACTACACGAGTAAAAAAACTCCATCGCAACAGCCCGGGACAAGAGTTTTTTTTAGTGATTTTCAAGTTTTCGAGTTTGGGAAGTATGCAATACCAATTCCCAGTCGAGAAATCGTGAAAAGCAGTACAGACGAATTTTTATTATAACCTTTTTTGTAGAGCCGATTGAGAGCTACAACAAATGAGACTCTTAGGTTCGGAAATATTCCTCAAAAATTCCACTGGGAAATAAGTCGACTTAAACCATTTTACCACTTCGCTACTGGAATGATGACCACTAATCACTCATACGCAAATTGCTGCCGAGCCATCTCTATAGATGTATAGTGACAGTGGTCTATTAAAAAAAATTGCAGGCGGCTGTAACTTCGATACAGCTGTAATTGTACGTGGATACGTCCATGGTCTTTCCTTCTTTCTCGAATTTCCTAGAAACTCCTTGCACTCCCTCAAATTTTCTGGAAACTCCTTGAATTCTCTCGAATTTTCTAGAATTCCGATAGATGGCGCTGCACATAAGAACCGTTTCCCAAAATGACCCCCCATATTGAAATCATAGACGTATCCACGTGAAAAACAATTTAATCTACATGTGGTCGTCACAAATTTTTGTTTATTTGTGAAATCTGCACGCCAATGTAAAAGGAGTACACTTCCGACGTCACATCCGTTGCACCCCCACCACTATATTTTCTAAGGGAATAGGGGTGGTTGAGGTAAAGCGGACACTTTTAACTTTTTTTTAAATGTTCATGAGGGGTTGAAATGTTGATAAAATTTAATAACTTTTTTTTTAATACAAAGAACAAGTCGTTCTCTTTGTGAAGATCCTAAACTGAGCTCAATTGATAAATTTGTTTCTGAGTTATGAATAATTTTTAAAAAGTCTAAAGTGTCCATTTTATCTCATCCTCCCCTACTCCTTCCTGATATTCTTTATTTAATGACAAATTATAAATCCTTCTCAGACTGTTTTTTAAACTTCAAAATGAGATCAATTTCATTCAAGTCATATCAAAATGTAATTCACCCCATAAACTTACATGCAAAGTGCTATCTCAAAGCCGTAAGCTGCGCCCATCCATCAGTTCCCAAAATATAAATGACGCTTTATATTTTATTTATCAATTCTTATTTAAATTCATTTGGTATCAATCTACTGGGGATTTTGAAATGAAAATTATGGTCATTGTTTATCTGTGTAAAATAAATTAGAAATTAATTATGGCCGCCGTTACGCATTTATATAGATGGTTTGACAACAATTTTCATTCAAATTATTTATGACTGATTTGCAGTTAGAAAATTTGTGCGTCACATGATCGTCACAAGACCGTTATTTTTTAGTCATGTGACCGTCATTGACAGTCACATGACTAACATGGAACGGATCATGTGACGCATTCGCATTTTTAGTCACTGGCGCTAGTGTCACCAATCGCCATTTCCCAAAAACTACTCAAACTGAACTCAATGTGTTATTCTGAAATTCGCTATCCTGCGAGCTCCATGCAGTGATTATAGCAATAAACTATTAAACTTTATGAGGGTCTTGTTCAGTGCCTTGCAAACAGGTACAAAAATAATGATCCATGAAACAAAATTGTATTCATAACCTTAATGTTTCATTCCCAAGGGAGCATACAGTCGTGCATGAGCAAAGACTTCACTTATTTGTTCGGTTTTGCGATATTTCTTGCACTCTCCTTTCTCAATACTCCTGAAAAATTTATTCCGTTGAATTCACCTGAAGAAAACTCTGTATAAAAGATTTTGTTTCGGTTGGTTCGGGGTTAAATGTGCGAATTCTTTTGCTCGCCACTGTATATAAACATTTAAAAAACGAAATGGTTCATTTCAAAAACTGCTACAGACCGACTAAGTCTAGGACCCAATCCTAGTCCTACACTGAAATGAAAAGTTATTTTTGCCAAGAAATCATTTTCTTGCCAGAAGAATTAATTTAAAAAAAAATGTATTTCTCGAGGCTAGTCATTTCCAGTTGGTCCATGTCCATCTCCAAATATTACAATTACGTGGAATTATGAGATGATTATGCTGCATATGACTTTGAATGAACAACATTATTTTCCAGTTTTTTCAAATTTGAGATGTTCTTACGTAAAATAATTTGGAATAATTCTAAATGTTAATAATTGTTAATGGAGTTTATTCAAGGCCATACGTAGCATAATCATCCCATAATTCAACATAATTGTAATATTTGGAGATGGACTTGGACCATCTGGGAATGACTGACCTGAAGAAATACACTCCTAAAAAAATGTATTCTTCTCTCAAGAAAATAATTCCTTGGCAAACGAAATTTTTTTTCTCAGTGTAGGTACGCGACGAGGTCTAGGATCCAATCATATCATTCAAACATATTTGATAAAAATGATTAAAGCATTGAGCCTTCTTTCCACCAGGTGAAGAATTGTCTAACATCATCCAAAATTGCGGTGGAAAAGAGATGCAGTTCAAATTTATATCGGTAGAAACGAAACGAAATTTATAGTATATTGTGCCCCTAGGGAGTAAAAGTATTTTCTGACGAATGTGACGTTATAACCCGAGCCGAAGGCGAGAGTTATAATCACATGAGTCAGAAAATACTTTTACTGCCGTGTAGCACACGATATTTTATGCCTCGAGGACTGAAAACCGCGATTTAACCGAGCGAAGCGAGGTTAGAATCGCCGTTTTCCGTCCCTAGAGGCATAAAATTTATATTAGCGGAAACGCAATTGTAGTCGATGCAACTATTCGTGCAACTATTCTTATATGGCAGCAGCGAAGCGGTAAAACGGTGTAGGTCGATTTCGACTATTTGTCAGTTTTTAATGAATATTTCACAATCTAAGGGAGATAGCCAAATTTTTGATAAAACATTTTCTGTAGCAGTTAATTTGCTCTGAAAAAAAGGTTATTACAAAAAATACGTTATCTCCCTTAGATTCAGAAATATTTCTTGGAAACTCAGATGAGAGCTAAGTCGACTGAAGCCCTTTTACTGCTTCGTTACTGATTCAATTCTCCGCATTTTTATATCCCTCCCCATGTCGTACTATTTTTAAATACATTTGAAGTGAGTATGAAGAACATGAGCTGAAGAAGTCATCGCATTTTTAAAAAATTTTTTTTTCAGCCTGATTACCGGTTATATCAGGAAAATGACGGCAGTCCCATCTCATCAAGCTAAGATAACGGGAACTTACTCTTGCAAATTTAAAACACCTGGAAATGGAAGAAAATTTGTAGAATTTGGACGTTTCAAATCTGAAGTCGATAATGATTGTGAAGTTCACATCTGGGTTCAGCGTGCAGGCGATCCAAAGCCGAAGGTTGGAGAGAACACGAATGAGATGGAACACATTATCGACATTGCAGTGGGAAAGTCTGATAGTACACCCACTAAAGTCGATATGAATTTAAAGATAACAAAAGCAAAACATGGCGTTATTGCAGAGAGAAACGAATCGGTCAATAATTGGTCACTGTACTGTTATTTTCGTAATTGGTCTTTCACATCTCCATCCATGAATGGTGAACATGAAATAACCGTACAAATAACATGGACATTAACTGAATCACCAAATTTATACATCCAAATGTCAAATTTCTTGATGAATCAATCGCTGAGTGATGTGACAATTGTTATCGGTAGAAAGAAAATTTTCGCTCACAAGTTGATTTTGTGTGCAGCTAGTCCAGTTATTCATGCAATGCTAACTTCTCCCATGAAAGAAGCAGCAGAAAGTCGTATTGTCATAAAAGATGTAGGATTTGATGTTGTTAAAGCTGTTCTCAAACTTCCGTACACTGGAAAGGATTGGAGATTTGATGATATTGAAATAGCCATAGGGGGCTTAATGTTCGGTGAGAAATACGATATGGGGAAATTGAAGGACCTTTGCGAAAGCAAGTTACTCAAAAACTTGAAGATTGAAAATGTGTTTGAAATTCTTGATGCTGCTGACACTCATCGGGCTGAGATGTTGACCAAGAAGTGCATGAAATTCATCCTCGATAACAAGAAGGAACTTATTCATAAAGAATCTTTCAAGGAGTTTTATCTCAAAAAACCTCTGTTGATGCTGCAGTTCATGAAGGAAGTCATTGATCCTACAGGAAGTTAATCGATAGAAAAGCAAAAATGTAATTTAAACTTTTCAACATCACCATTCAATCCACGGAAAAACTGTGTCCAAAATATGCAAAACTATGAATGCAAAATAACAAGGGACATTTTTGTTTCTAGCGTCTACTTGTGGGACATCAATAACTTCAGCATTTTCTTATCTCTCGAGGGATAACGTAGAGAAGACCCTAAAATTATCGATACTCTATTCAAATGCGTCTATAGAAGCAACTTTAAGAATTATTTTGATTTTTATTCCCTATATGCAATTCTTAATATTTTGCGCTGACTCCAAATGTATTATATAATGTTTTAATGAGTTTTATTATGTTACTCTTCGCTTTTTCAACTACTTTCTGACCATAATACCATTACGTTAATTAAAAAATGTAAAGCTTGATGGTCTATAGAATAGACCTTTTCTTCATAATGTCATGGGTTTATTCTTGTGAATTAAAAACCAATTTTACAAATAATGATTAACTGACTATCATTTTTCGCCCTTATAGTGCATTTCCTTAATTAGATAATTATGAGCGTTCATTGCAAATATAAACTCTATAAAATTCTCTAGTCTGTGGAGGCAGTGTGAACCGTGCCTATAATACGGTTTTAGCATGTTCATAGATTGATTTTAACAAAAGCAAACTTGAATTACATAAGAACGTTCATTAATGCAAGGCACTGGCTCAATTAAAGTAGTATGAATAAAGACCACTCGAGTCGTTGAGAGTAATAGGCAAATGAAGAGTGGTGGATTCAATACTAACCAATTCAACATAAATCTTCTTCACGAATCGAGAATCACTTGGACGTGCGTCATTCAATATTAATTCAATATTATTTTCTCCGATAGAAAAATTTAATTTCAGCTAATAAGTTTTTCAGGAAGGGTTACGATAGTAATAAGCAAAAAATCGTCATTCAAACTTAAACGGTTGAAATCCCACGTGTCCATGCAACTTCAGACTATTGCTGAAGAAAAAATGCGGAATTTATTAGGAACAATTTCCTGTTTTTGATTAAAACTACCCTACTCCACCTAAAACTATAATTTCTGGTCTTTTCGTTATTTTTTTTTTACTTCAATAGACGGCTTTATATTTTAAATAAATTTTAAAAGAAATTCTGGGCTATTTTGAGGGGTTGGCCGAAAAAATGACCGAGGAAAAAATGACCTCAGAAAAAATAGCCAGCGAAAAAATGACCGAATAAAAAAATGACCGAATTAAAAGAACGGTTCATTCGAACGCTCTTGAAAGATAGTGGATAGTGGTACACTGTTGTAGAATTTCGCGGAATTTTCTGGACAAAGACCTTGAATTTAATTTAAGGCGAAAAAGTTAATGGAATTTCAAGTTTCTTTGGAAATTCGAGTAAAATTCTGATCTTTTAGCGGCAGGAAGATGGAAATTTCACAACTTACATGAACTTTCAAGTGAAAATGAATATTCATTGTCAAATTCGCAGAATGATTGAATGGAATTTTAGTTCCCACGGATTTTTCTATAAAATTATCGACTTTCAATGACAAAATTCCTTGAAATTTCAATGGAAATCTCACTTGTGACGGTGGGTGAGTGGCTGGATGATTATTGTCCGTAAAGTCGCCTGTGTTTTGGTTTCTTTCCCGTTCTGAACCAGCGAGAATTTGAATAGTGGATTCCGCTGACTGATTGAATGAATGCAGTAGCGAATCTCTAGGGTTTTTTGTTCTCATTTTTCTTCATTTTTTCAAAATGAGGTCATTTTTTCCCGGTCATTTTTTCATCGGTCATTTTTTCATAAATTCATTTTGAGGACTCGAACATTTTTTCCCTCACAAACTGCGCCATTTTATGAGATTTGGACGATGGATTTGAAATCAGCGTGCAAAAATTTCTAGTGGTGGCAGTTTCATCGCTCTGCCAAAAAAAATCTGGAATTTTGTAGGACTAATTGTAATTGATTGTCGACAGTTGATGATTCCAAACGTTTTTAAATCGCTAATGACGTCACAAGAGTGGTTCGACCGCTGGATCAATCACAGAATTTCTTGAGCCAATCTAACCGAATGTTCACGTGCGCCTTATGCAATGGATGGCGGCAACTCCCCACTCTCCCCAGATTCGACCAACGGAGCGCTACCTAGCATTACTTATGACACTTTGTGACGTCATGGTCGAAATAGTATATTTCGTCATTAGGCCGAAAAAAATTTTTTCTGGCGAATATGAGGTTTCGCCAAGCGATCATCCTCGCACCCTCGCCTTCGGCTCGTGCTGCAAACCTCATATTCATCAAAAAAGTTTTTCTTGACCGTATGACGAACAATATTTTTTGTCATGACGGCCGTGAAACGCTGCCTTACGGCCGGAATGACAAAATAATATATTTCACAAATACTTGATTTTCAATCCATTACTATAAACTATTTAGGCAATATTTCCCCACAATTCTTTTCGTTTAGCTTCTCTGGGTTATGTGTAGGATCGATAAGTAGAGAAATTAAAGAAAACTGAGCTGCACGCAAGTCCCCCATTCACCTTTGGGCCAATCCCCAGCCCTCCGGCCCCCTGCAGAGATTGTAATGATGGGCCTCACCCCAATAAAAATACCCTCAATCTATCGGCAATATTTGAACAAAAGACTCCAGTCTACAACAGTCGGGAAAAATCCAAAGTAATTTCCGGGAATTCATCATAAGAATCCTTCATAATACCTACCGAAAGGCCAAATTGTGGGATGCAAGTGTGGCCGATTGGGGTTTATGAAGTGTCACCAGCGCTATAGGGAAAAAGAAAATTAGGGCTCGAAAGTCGCCAGATTGAAAAAAAATTCATAACTATGAACATTTTTTCATTAATTCTCAAACACTCAACGAAATGAAGATACGTTCCACCTGTCTAGTGAAATTATCTAAAATAATACTCACAAGAAGTAGATACTGTGATCATATACGATTGGGAATACTATTTATGTCACAATGTATTTACATTTCACACATAACATCTTCGCTAATATGCTCTTGGAAGCAAGAATGTGCTTTTGTCTTATGACATTTTTCTTATTACAACCGTGAATTTTCCCAATCTTCACATATACTGTACCTGATCCTGTGTCAATTTAAGAGTTCCAGTTATTTGATGTATGAAATTTACGGCCGCTTACGGGCCGCTAATTCCGAATTTATGAGTTTTTTTCTAAAAAATCCGGTGTTCTACTTGTTATGTGATATGATCGCTTAAAAAATTAAATTGTTAATAACAAATAGAACGCCGGATTTTTTGGAAAAAAGACAGAAATTCGGAATCAGCTACCCAAAAAACATAAATTTCATACATCAAAACGCGGGAATTCTTAAATTGACACAGGATCAGGTGCAGCGTACGGGCTACCACTTAAAAAAAAAACTTTTTGAAGTTATTTTTCAACTAAATAAGTCTTTTTTGTCACTGGTGAGAATTAAAAATTGTTGTCACTAGCTGATCATCTAAAAACACCAGATTTAGTGACAAAGTCACCAAATCGACAACACTGAGCCGTATACTGGCGACAATATGAGAGTGATCTTTCCATCTAACCCCTACTTCCCCCACCACCGACGCGCGCATGCGCGGTGGGACGGTGGTGTATCCCTCCGCGTACGGCGTGTTCAAAATACATGAAAAATAATTTCCTGTTTTGTTTTTTTCGTTTTTGATGAAAAAACAATGAATTGATAACAAAATTATGAGGAAATACGTGAAAATTAATACTTAATAAATTAATAATAGTAATTGACTTGTCTAATTCTCCAACAGTTGACCAAAAGTTTCAAAAATTCCAGAAAAGTCCACATTGATGTACAATATTTGAGAACTATAAATAAAAAATCATTAAATCTTCGAAAAATCTTCTCAAATATTCCTAATTTCTCTAAAAATTGTAAATCGACGTGAAAATTATCTATACCTACATTTAAATAAAATTATTTCTGGTGATTCATTATGAAATGATTGAATAATAAGTTTATTACATGCTACACACCGACAGAAACCACGCAAAGCTGCGTTTTCGAATTTTTTTGAAAATGACAATAATGACTATCAGACACAAGGCTCGAAAATTGGAATGGAAGAACAAAGGGGATAGAAAAAACTATAAACTAGGTGAAAAATAATTTGTACATTTCGTTTCAACGTTTCATATCAAATAACAGAAAGATCAAATTCATTTTCAATGATCCTCCAAAAAACAAATTTTATATTTATACNATCCCCTTTTCTGATCCCCCTCCACTCTCCCAGCTACCCTCGGCAGGTACCAGTGACAGGTCAAAGGATGAACTTGGTTTCAACAAGTAGGGAAATGGATATGAGAGGGGATAAGGTAAAGAGAGGGTATGTAAATAAATGTCCTCCTCAGTCGGGACGCCAGTCAGTCTATAGGCAGTTCTTAGACAGGAGCTAAACAGGAAACGCAGCAAGAATATATACAAAATTCAATCGAAGGAGTCCAAAGCAATAACTTATACCATCGAGGTAGTGGGAGTAGTTCAATTTCTTTATTCCCTTCAATATGATCCGTTTTTTGAATATATCTTTTCTATTTAATGCAGTTAAACCCATCGGGGAATCTTCTGGGAAATTCTAACATTTTAAAAATAATCTTTTATTAGTTTAAGGTCCGGCTTCATTATCTGCCGAATGTTATCTAGATTGCTTTTTTTTGTTTGATTTCTATCTCGAAATTTCTTCTTGATGCTCGTCACTCAGAGACCCCCGAAAATTTTGAATTTCGCTTGGAAAAAGAGTAAAAAAATCTGAACATTTTGAAAGAGCGTTTCTAATTAATATTGAGTAGTGAATTCAATAGAGAAGATATAAATAATGTATAATTACCGTGGCAAATAGCGCCCTGTCCGTCGCCATCATGGGGGAGGAAAGACGAAATAATAAATCCTTTGACACAGCGCAACCAGACGATTGTACGAAAGAAGCTCTTTGAAAAATTTTGTAATATTTTAAAGAATTTTTGTATCACACTTTTGCGATGAATTACTAATCACTTACACCAATCTTGTCAATTGAAAATTGTACTGTCCATCAACTGTCACTTTTGTCGGAGGCGCAAAGAAGAAAGAAAGAGCGATTTTCCTATGTTCTCAATTCCCGACAAAACTGACTGCTGATCGCCAATACAATTATCAATGAAAATGATTAGCGTAAGTGATTAGTAATTCATCGTAAAAGTGGGTGCCAAATTAATCATTTGCCACGGTAATTATACATTATTCATATCTCCTCTATTGAAATCATCTATATTAATGAAAAAACACTTTCAAAATGTTCAAATTTTTTTTGACTTTTAAAATCTAGATTCTGAATTTTCGGGTTTCCCTGAATGATGGGGCATCGATCGAGTTGAAATTGCGAGATCAAAATCGAACAAAAAAATCAATTCAGATAGTGCAAAATTTTTTCAGAAGATCCTGACATTTTCGCACAAAAATAACAATTTAAAAAAAAATTATCATTGGGTTGAAGGCTCTCAGCTGACGGCCAGTTGCGAATTTTCCGTGAATTTACTAAGAATTCCATTGAGAATAATAAATAATGAATAAAAAATAAAACTTCCAGATGGGCAGAACCCACATCGAAGGTTCTTCCTCGGCCAGAGACGGTGGACCAGCTGCGAAACGTCAAAAAATCTGGGACACGAGAAACCCGGCACCCCTCAATCTTTCTTCCGGTGGTTCTTCCCCTGAATCTCGAAGGGTAAATCCAAACTCGGCAGCAGAAAGTGCGATCTTTCACAATATATCATCCGCCACTGAAGTTACTAACTCTCAGCTCAATCAAATTCGCAGAAGAATGCACACTCTTTGTGAAGCGGAGAGGAGAATTTTAATGGTGAGAGAAGAAGTTTCCAAGCGAGTAATAACAGAGTTGCAATTCTACCTGGTGGGAACAAGTCAAGTCATTCAAGAGTCACGAGGGGCCCAAGCAGCGGCAGAATGTCGGACAATCGAGGAACAACAAAAAAACACAGAACTGATGAATGAAAACACAGAGCTGAGAGGGATGATGTTTCATCAGACCTCAGTAGATAGATCGAAGCTAAAAGCTGCAGCAAACAAGATAACAGAGTTGCAGCAAAAGTTGGATTCGAGATCAACACTACTCGCAGAGTACGATACCAAGACAATTGAACTTGAAAGGATGAAGAAGAAAATTGCGAAGTTGGAATCTGAGAAAATTTCACTGCGCATCCGGCTACAGGATCTGAAGAAGAAACTGAAATTAGGAAATGAAGACGATGCAGACAGTTCTGAAGAGGAAGGGATGACGACGGAATGCGAATTATCAAGTCCAAGACGAGAGAACGAGGATCGCAATGGCGATGAGTCTTCAGGTCCGAATTATATTGCAGAGCTTTTGCAAGAAATACTAGAGGAAGATGGGTCTTCATCGTGTTTGCAAGCTTCCGACAGTGATGGAGCAGAGAAGTCTGTAGTAGAAACGACAAACTCAGAATCAGACAATGCGATTCGGGTCGGCGAGCTGTACGTTCTACCTTCACATGAAAAATTCTTCGAGATTGATTGGAAGATACATTATAAACAAGTGAACAGTCGCCACTTTTCATGCGAAGAATGCCAGTACTCGACACATACAAGATTGTTCATGGAGGATCATATATGGGCTAAACACTACGGGGGAAGATTTAAGTGCCCTTTTTGTTTTAATAATTTACGAAGGAGACATGGTATTAAGCAACACGTGAAACATATGCATTTTGATAAGCTTCGGATAGTTAATTTGTCTTGAATGAAGTTTTCAGTGATTCTTATTTGACAAAATCCTGAAACTCTGAGGAGTATGCTGAGAAAAAAAAATTGCTTTTGCCAAGCATACTAACTACAAGACAATTTACACATATCTTATGCAAATATTTGTACACATTTAGTTGTAGCAAGTAAATATACTTCGCAAAAGTCTTTTTTTTTTCAGTGTAACAGAAGTTTAAATGGCACACACAAAAAAATTTAATGGGAAAACCGAGCGAATTCGCTAGACAATTCTATTGGATTTTCTAGTAGTTTTCGGCCGATTCTGTTGAAATTTTCAATAAAAAGAATTCTATAGAAAAAGTATTAAGATATTTTCTAAAAAATTTTCCAAGTTATTTTGTTTGATTTTCTTAATGAAAAGAAAAATAGAATGAATACAACTTGGAGAATTTGACTAGCTTGGAAAAATCGAATTCTATTGACTTTTTCTGTAGAATATTTTCTATTGAATATTTTAATAGAATCAGCCAAAAACTAACAGAAAATTGAAGAGAAATTCAGTAGAATTGTCTAGCGAATTCGCTAAGTTTTTCTGTTAATTTTTTTTTGTGCATGGATGCTTTTGAGAACAGTTATAGACATTCTTAAATTTTATTGAAAGTCGACTAGGCTTTTTGATTTTTTTCGAGTGTCCTCATTCGCAGCGTGAAGAGTCCGCACGTAGTCTCAAGATGAATAAACATGAAAATTTATAAATTTGTATCGTTTTCAATTATTTCATTTATAACCCGCACGTACATTGTTTTTTTCCATTCACCCATATTGAAACAGTGGGGCAAAATGGAACAGTCAAAATAAAAAGATTGTTTGGCGCAATTCAAGCAAAAAAAATTGTTTTATTAAATTTTTTTCTCAACTTTTTTTAATTCTTGGGAATACTGATGAGAATAATAATTATAATTGAAACAAAACGTAAAGTTTCACTTATAATTTTAGTTTAGTTATTCTTCAAAGATTATTAGTGGTGATATTCTGTTTTATTTTGGAATTTATGATTGTCCTGACCTTTCCATTTTTCCATTAATTACGAGAAACCTGAAGTGTGAATGGAAATTTTTTATTTTCACACTTCTAACGCGACGGTTTCTTTATACGCAGAAACCATCCTTCGTTCTCTATCATCAGGGATATATTAACCTGGAAAAATGGTCCATAAAGAAATCGACTTGACACCGAATACAAGAGTTTTGAGTATAATGTCAGAGTTTTTGCTGACATGAGTTCTGCAAACACACCTAATGGTATTTTTAAGTATATGAGTGTTACCACACTGAGAAAAAAAATTCTAAGAAATAGAAATTCTATGATTGATCCACTTTGTTCATCGATTGAATAGTCGCAAAAGAAAATGCTATTGTAAGACACAAATATCGATTTGAACTAAACCAAAATTGGATTGTATGAAATCGATTTTGTTATAGTATAGTATATTTTGTTTATTCTATCGAATTTAGAAAATACATGTTTTTGCGACAAAATCGATTTTATACAATTCAATTTTGGTTTAGTTCAAACGCTTCGGATTTGGCACAAATAATTTTTTTAACGGCCAAAAACTAATAGAGAGTTCAATAGAAATCGAATAGAGCTGTCTCTAGCGAATTCGCTAGGTTTTTCGTACGTGTTACGTAAGATTCTTATGGACCCCGACCCCCCTCTCCATACGGGAAGGTAAGGAAACGTAAACCCTCTTCTTCTTCTAATCCAAGTGGCTTTATCCTCTCACTGTGGTAGGGACAAGTGCCAAAACTTAGACCCTCTCCCCTTTTGAACGCCTTACGTGATATATAGACAGCCCCTCAGCCAGTTACCCAACTCTGGTTCCTGCTGGGCACTTTCTGTGTCACTTCAATGCCCGGACAATCATAAAAAAAAGTAGTGCTTAATAGTTTTTTAAGTGCAGTTCCTTTTTGGGGGTGAGAAAATAGATGCAAGTGGACAGCAGGTGATGTAGAAGAATGCAAGGAAGAGAACTCTGTCAGAACCAGTCAATTCTGAGACAGTAGCAAAACAAGAAGCGTAGCCGAAGCATATAACTTGATGTCAGCCAAGAAACAAGAATAAATAATCGTCACGGTTGAGGGCTCGAATGACATCAATTATAAGGTCAGTCAGGAGAGTCCACAATCAATTAATTATATATTTTTCGGTTGTTAACTCTGAATATGCATTATTTAGATTTACATTGTAGATATATCTAGATATATAGCTGCTACAAATAATACTTGTCCACAGTTCGGCCATTCAAATATTACGTCACATTTTGGTTCCGTAACATTTCATCTGCCGAGAACTTATCCGTTGTCAATTGTTCCACCGACAATTTCCCCTCATGCGTTATTCCCGAGTTACAAAATAGTCGCCGTTAAATTTCCGAAGGGTTTTTTTTAAACTTTATCCCGTTCTGAAGCAATACGGAGTGCATAAAAGAAAAAAATTGAACTTAGAATTCATAGATCACATTTAATCCATAATTTTCAATTCCATAATACACAAAACAAACATTTCCAAATCCTCCTCGATTCATAAAAGCACGTTATTTTCATTGATTTATGAATATACTTTATACAATTCACTTACATTTCAATTAACTCGTAATTAAAATTGATATTAATTTGTAGGAATTACATGCCTCAACGCTGGGGCAAGCAAATTTCGTGTGAGGTAACGTGGCTATCGGTGATAATATAAATGGGGATACATTGTGAAGTAGTGAGCTTGATTATAATTGAAAAGAGGGAGCCTTCGCCGGCTATGGACTGTTTATTATCATCCGAAATGGTAAACACATGGAATATCGGATAATTTATCAACGGATGTTATGTGCCAAGAACAAATTATCTGCGATCTGATGTCAACAATACAATTATCACACAAAAAATTGTCTTCGCTTTTTTTAAAAAATTTTTCCCGAAAATTTTGTGCGCGGATCAAAACGCGTGTTGCCGTTATGCGTTTTTTTAATAGGTTGTTCATAAAATGCTCGGGGTAGGCGGGGTAAAGTGGACCGTTTTGTCATCTCCAAATTCCAATGTTTTGATTTTAGTACAAATTCGAAAAAATTGATATTTTTCCAAAAAACGATTTTTCAACAATCACTCAAAAAATTGTCAACAAAGTGGACTTAATCTTGGCTCAAAGAAACGACAATAATACTATGGCTAAATCGTGAATAAACCCTGATTGAACCTTGATTAAACGGGGTCTGAATATAGAATTATTTGACAGAACGAAATAATATACAAAATTTTAATGACATTTCAATTGATAAAAGTACTATAACATGAAAAAATGGAACAAGAGAATGGTGAAATAAGAAGTTCAAACTGAACCCATTCGGAAGCAAACTGCCAATTTGTAACAACAATTACTATACTCATTTATTAAAAAAACTGAATAGTTCACTTTTCTTTTCTCCTCGTATTATACGGAAAAATACTAAAATATTAACTCTTCGTTACTCGCGTCCACGGCACCGTGCGAGTGAAGTTCAATTTTTTCCTATAACTAGAACTGTGCGCGCGCTGTCGCGTGCGCTCATCTATTAGTTGTGAACATGAAGAAATCGAATTTATTAAACTTCATATACTCATAGATGTTTTATAAATATTGATAATGACTTGAAGAGAATTAAGAGAATAAAGAGTGAAACATCAATGAATAATTTTTAATCTTCGATTAATTCTTTTTTTTTTTACTTTTTAAAATAATCTGATTAAAATCTGTAATTGTTGAAGAATGAGAGGAGGGTTATGAATTGATTTCCTAGAAAACTGAAAAAATTTCTTGAATTCTTTGGAAAATTTCACAGTTTTCCATATAACCGTAGATCTTCAAAGATTTTTCTCGAATTACTTGGGAAACCGAAGAATTTTCATGAATTTTGTAAAGTTTAGAATTTATGTATGAAAATCTGAGAAGCAAGAATTGATCATTTGTGCGGATGATAAATATGAAAAAATTAAAATTTGGGAAGTGAAGAATAATTTGTGAGTGCAAAAAAATTTAGAAATGCTTTTTTTTTCTCATGATCAACAATTAGGCAATTTAAATGTGTTTTGATATAAAGATAAACCTCACACATGAAAAAATGAAAAATATGACGCAGAAAAAATTTTTGGCATTTGAAGAATTTGAAAATACCAGGAATTTTTTTCAGCTACTACTTCACGTGACTCATTGACCAATCAGAATTGAGGATTAGCGGTCAGGCAGTTTTGACATATTTCGATATAAAACAACTTCACGTTTCTTTCATCTTTAGTAAAAAAAAATAGGACTTTCGAAAAAAGTCATTAAAAAATATGCAAAAATTGGTGTGCCTCACTGATTCTATACACAAGCATATTCAGCTATTTCTAACCACGGCCAACACCCCCGGTTTAGAGAAAATTTACAACGGCGCGCTCAGTTTACATTAAGGCGCGGCGCCGTGATACAAGTAGCCACGTCAGGCAGTTTCACGCGAGTAACGAAGGGTTAAAATGATGATGGAAGAAATAGTAATCTGATAAAAAAAATTCCAGATGGATAACACCAGAAGTGGAGCAAGTGAGAAAAGTCATAAAATGAACGATTTTGTTCACTCACCGACACATTTTCCAACCATTGATTGGCATCTTGAAACTCCATGGGAAGATTCAAACTTCCAAATAGGAATCTTGGTCCCCTACGACAGATTACCTCACATTGTGGAAACCACAACCCGCCTCAATAAAATACGAGAAGAAATGAAAACCCTCTCCGAAGAGGAGAAACGAATTATGATCGAACTAGAAGAAGATTCTAAACAGGAAATAGAAGATCTGAAATCACGCCTAGTTGAAGAAACAAACAAAAAAACCGTGCTGCAACAGAAAGTAACAGAATTGCTGGATGAAAACGCCAGATTACAAGTACTTGTATCTCATCAATCTACGGAAGGTGCCCCAACAGAAACATGTGAGCTGCAAGAAAATGATATGACAGTTCAAAAATTAGAATCTGAGAAGAAATGGCTTCGAGAGGAGATACAGGATCCTTTTCCTCTGGCAACACGTGCGGAAGAGCTTGAAAACAAATTACCATTATGGGAGGAAATTATTTCGAGTTCCTGCAGTACTGTCGCGGGAACCTTACCTTCTGGAAACGTATCATCCTATCCAAATGAGGAAGTAGAGAATGTAGACAGAGATGAAGAGGAAGTGATGCCTGGGAAATGCAAAGAATCAAGTCCAAATCTCCATCGCAGCAAATCAATAGTAAATGAAACGGCACCAGCGGATCTAGATCTCAAGAATGAGTTCACAAACCCAGACAATGACAATGGACCTTCAACAGGGATATCAAATGAAGTTGAAGCTGAAGAACAAGATCTTCGGATACGCGTAGGCAGCAGATACATTCTCGCTTCTGATTCGAGATTCTTCACAATTGATTGGAGCAAACAATATCAACACACTGGCCCTCACCTTTATTCATGCAAATTGTGTGATTTTAATGCACCAGAACGAGTGGCAGTGATAGACCATACATGGGTCAAACATTATGGGGGACGATTCAACTGTCCTCATTGTCCCAAAAAGTCCTTACAGCTCACAGTCAGATATCATTTGAAGAAACACATCAAACAAAGCCATCCTGATATTGTCTGAATTCTTCAATTGTTTATTCGTTAAAATTTCCAATCAATTAGGGGAGGGTGGAGTAAAGTGGACACTTTAGACTTTTTTTACTTGTTCATAACTTAGAAACAAACTTATCAATTGAGTTCAGTTTAGGCTCGTCACAAAGGGAAACAATTGTTCTTTATATTGGAAAAAAATGATTAAATTTCATCAACATTTCAACCCCTCAATAACATTTTTAAAAAAATCAAGTGGCCGTTTTACCACAACCTCCCCTATAAATAAACATGTTCGAACATTCCATTGTTTCTGATTGTTTTGTATCTAAGATATTGTGAAATTTGTTTCCGTTTCGTGACTGTACGATGCAAAATCACTGAATTCGATATTTGATTTGTTATTAATTATTTACAATTGAATTTAAAAAATGCTCTCCTTAATGTGATAGCTTGAATATTCAAATTGTTATTCACGTTCAAGAACTTGGTTTCTTGTTTCCCTGTCTATATTCATTCATATTTCTTTTCCTACTACCATTACGGATTTATAGGCTCCCCATTGGTCTGCCTTGCCTCTCCCGCTTCTCTCTTCCGATTTTTTCTGCGTTACCATGGGTCGTCTTACTCTTAACTGTACCCCATTCGGGCTAGGACTGCAAGGGAAACCATGGAAAACCCTAGTCGTACAGTCGGCCGATTGTGCAGCGAGCTCTAATGTGCCCTTCTGTCACACTGATTAGAGGGGCACACATCAGGCCTCAGTTAATATGTGCGCTAGATCTTGGTATTTCTTACTTACTCTTACTTATTTTTACTATTTCTTGTAATATCTTATTGCTGTTATTACTTTCATCCTCTGTCGACTCCACTTGTTGGTGTCAATTTGTAAGACATAACATACAGTTAATCAATCAAATCAATCAGTCAATCAATCAAAGGCCACTGCACCGTGCCTACCTTCCGAAATTTTTGGGCGAGGGTGTTCTTAAGGATAATCGGGCGAGCCTGGAGGGTTAGAAAAAAAGCAGCCATTTCTTTCTTTTTTTTTACGTATTCTTTAAATGGTGGAAAAGACGTGTGCAAAGTTTCAGACTGCTGGGGAACATGGTTAATTTATTATGAATTTTTGAAAAAGTGGTCATTTAACCCGTGATCTTATGGAAATCACAAAAAAAACTGCAAAACCCAACGTTAGCAACGCATCGACCGCAACGAAATATTTGGCTCAAGAGGCGAAAACGAAGATTTTTCGGGAGCAAAATACGTGAATATATGGGAATATCGAATATAACGAAGGAGTAGCGCTAGAAATGACATTGCTTGCATGTACAGAGAACGCAATTTTTTTTGAACTACTAAATCTATTTTTGCGACAAAAATTTTTCATTCCACCGCACTCTCTGCATGTTTGGCACCAACAATCCTTTTTTGATAATTTTCAAAAACCTATTTTCTTGGCACAAGTAAGACTTGCTGAGAACTTTGTCGTTTTTCTCTCAATGTAGAGCTTTCTTATAGTTCCAGTTTTGTGACCACATACTGGCTGACTATTCATACAAAAACAGGCCTTTTTTACCTCCCCAATTTTTTACTTAACGTATGCAAATTTCAACTCGTCATTTCAGCTAAACAGTTCATTCGAAATCGAAAAAAATACTCTATTTTATTTTCACATGAAGAATATATGAAAATATATGAAACGGAGACATGTCAACACTCACGAGTTCGCACGGAATGCCCCATAAATGCATAAATTGGAGCCTCTGCACTCTGATAACACGAGGAAAAGGACAGAGTATTCATTCCCCTGGTAGGTAGTTCGAAATACGAACTCCTCGTCACATGTTGAACTTTTGAAACGGCCGGGCATGGGAACAAGTGGTGGGGAATGCCCCTCCACAGTCCGCGCAACAGATGACAGTTTGCATTGCGAAGTTGGGAATTTGAGGTTAGTTTTGAGATAGCAGCTAAACAAAAAGTGTACTCACCCCGAAATTCAATAAGAGGAGGCCGAAAATGAATGGGAATCTGGATGAGCACAGGGTAATTTAACGAAATATGCTACTTGGGGTTTTTTTATAATTTTGGAATGCATTAAAACATCACCTTTTGGCGCAACAAACAAAGCGAATTGACCTGTAGGGTCGAATGTCGAATAAATTCTTGCGCATATTTGTTGGCGCATGACGTTTGCAAATTATTTGTTCTTCAAATCTTAAAATGAAGAAATGTGGAGATGAATTTAATGACGCGTTTGATAATTTTATGGGTGTACGTGAGATTCCATTGACTTCTCTCCAGTTTTATTCTTTCCATTGATAAATTAGTATGTCATTCTACGAAATTTCCATACGTATGGAAAAAAATACACTAGCGGATCCCGGGGTCGTCATTTGTTATTAATAATTCATAAATGAAAAATGAAAAAATCTAGCTTTCCGGTCAAATAATTTGATTAGTGCGAAATAGAAGGGATTTCGGACGAGGAAGGCATATGACATTCTTCCGTATGCATTTTTTATAAACAAATGTTTTTTCTTTAATCTCATATATTAATAATGAAAGAATATTCTCTTCGTGCTGTGCGTTTTTGTATAGGTTTTATTCCTAGAATTCTGACAATAGCACAAATAGATCCATTTCTATGTATTTTTTAAATAATTTGTTTAAACAAAAAAATATATATTTGCAGATTTTTTGATTGGGATATTGTATTTCTTAATATTTGAGTCAAGGTGCAATTTCTTATGAATTTTTCCCTAGACACGACTATTTAGTGAACACAAATTTACGAATAATTTTATTTGGAAATGTTCCACAAGTTTGCTAATAATTTTAAATTTAATTCGTTGAAGGATTGAGGTTGGGGGAATTTTTAGAGGATAATTAAACATTGAAAACGAAATTTCGGAACAAAACATTGATTTTTATTTGAAACGAATCATTGAAAAAAATTGCTGATTTCATATATTTCTGTAAAATCTCTCTGTTAATTACTGAAATCTTATCCATTCAGATCTAGGAAAAAATTTACAGTTTGACGACAATATTTGGTAATGAAAATTATTTAAAACCATATATGTTTATAAATTCAACAAGTGTGGGAGGATGCACTTGTCCTAAAATCTCGTCCATTTCATAGAAAACATTGTAATTCGCCAAAAAAAAAATTTTAATCATTTACTCAATTGTTAACAATATTTTCTGATCCCAAAGATCAAAATATTATCTAGAAGAATTTTGTACGCATGCAAAAACTTTGAAGAAAAATCCAGCGCTTTCATTAAATTTGTAACAAATTCTTGTGAATTTTTGCGAATGGAAATTGACGTCGTTCTATTTTTAGGTCCTCTAATTTGCTTGAAAATTATGTAGAATAGTTTGGAACTGGTGGTCAACTTTTAGAAAATTGAAGATTTAAAGGACTAATATAATTCCAAAAAATCTGAAATTTTTTCAGATTATAGGTATGAATGAAAACTAACTCTGTGCTCAATTTCAGCTCAATCGATGCAGCCGTTTTTGAGAAATTACCAGTTGTCACTAAATAGTTTTTCGCAAATATCTCAGAAACTACTCGACCGATTTCAATTTTTTTTTCAAAATATTCGCCTCGATGTCTCCTATTTCAATCAATCAAGATATGCATTACCGTTCATACAAAGTGTCCGAGGTATTTCCATTTTTCTGTTTTTCGCTCAAAATCCTCGTTAGCACTCTCACTTTTGCAAAAATCGACATATTAACTTGAAATTTGGCATGAAGTTTTCTCTTTGCACCGGAATGTTTTGTATTGAAAATGGGGTAAATCGGATGGTTAGTTTAGAAGATATTCAAGTTGTACCTAGATTCATTTTCTTGAATATCTCAAAAACTACTCAACCGATTTAGTTTTTTTCTCAAAATATTCGCCTCGATGTCTTCTTTCTCAATCAATCAAAATATGCATTATCGTTCATACAAAGTTTCCAAGGTATTTCCATTTTTCTGATTTTCGCTCAAAATCCTCGTTAGCACTTTCACTTTTGCAAAAATCGACATATTAACTTGAAATTTGGCATGGAGTTTTCTCTTTACACCAGAATGTTTCGTATTGGAAATGGGCTAAATCAGATGGTTAGTTTAGAAGATATTCAAGTTTGTATCTAAATCTATTTTCTTCAAGTACCAGTAATGTTTCTGACATCTCTTTCTCCGTGCATACCGGTTTGACGTCAGGATACATACTCGCAATATCGAAACGGTTAGGATAAAGTGAAAAAATTGAAATAAATAGGTGAATAAAAAATAAAATCAAAAATTGCAGGCGGCTGTATTTTTGATACAGCTGTAATTGTACGTGGATGCGTCCATGGCCTTTCCTTCTTTCTCAAACTTCCTAGAAACTCTTTGCATTCCCATGAATTCCCTGGAAACTCCTTGCATTCCCTCGACTTTCCTAGAAACTCCTTGAATTCTCTCGAATTTTCTAGAAACTCCTTGAATTCCCTCCAATTTTCTAGAAACTCCTTGAATTTTTGCGAAATTTCAAGACACTTCTCGAATTACCTCGAAATGTCTAGAATTTTCTAGAATTCCGATAGATGACGCTGCCCATAAGAACCATTTCCCAAAATGACCCCCCATATTGGAACCATAGGCGTATCCACGTCAAAAAAAGTGAACGACCATCATAAAAAAAGATCTCAAAATTGGAATAAAGAGTAATTATAAACAAATAAGGATTTGAAATTGATTTAGGTGCCTCGGAAGGGATGACATTATCTGGTCACCTATTGCCCTAACTTAGGTTCATCTTCAAACGTTTAGCAAATGCGATACAGAAGGTTGGTAAAAGTTTAGATGGGGGGGGGGGGGGGGGGCGAGAAAGGCACAAATTGCAAAAATGGAGAGAAATATCCGAGAGTGAAAAAAATTTATCATGCTGAAACCATTTAGCAGCACACCATCAATAGAAAAAGACACCGTCTTGTACGAATGATCCGCCTCTTGAGCGACATATTCCGTTGTTGTTGAAAGCAATTATTCATGTTCAAATCTTTCAAATTCGAACCAAACAATTTTTTTTAGTAATTTTCAACAAACGATTTTATTGGCCCAAACAAGACTCGTTTGAGAACTTGTTCGTTTTTCTCTCAGAGCACGGAGAGGGAAATATTTTCGAATGCACAGGGTTGCCACTGATCGAGATACCCTAGTTAAACGAAAGACTATTGTATGAAAAGCTACTTGAAGACAAAAAGAAAAGGATTAATTTATTGTACTCATCGAAGTTAGAATTCATATAAAAAATTATCAATGATGAATTATTTTTGTGGGCATTTTTCATTTATTTTTCCCGGTTACACTCAACGACTCAACTGGAGTCTATTCATACTACTTTAAATTGTTTTTTCAGATAGACAAACGAGTAAATAACAGTTCATCATCAATCAACGATGGTGCGCCAGCTGACAAACGTCCAAGGACATCAGACACTGTCAACTCCTCGAACCTCTATCCCCCTGCTACTATTAGTCCCTGTCTTGAAATTCGGCAAGGGGATCCAGACTTACAAATAGTGAATGTAAACCTTGCCGACACATTGACACCCCCTCCAGAGACTGTTCCTCGTCTCTGTGAAATTCGTGAAGAAATTAACAACCTCTGGGAAGAGGAGAAACGAATCTTGGGGGAACGGGAGGAAGCTTTCAAGCTGAGGATAAAAGAACTGCAATCACGCCTTGCTGAGGCGACAAAGTGTTCTATAGAGGCACGTGGAGCCCAGACGGCGGCAGAATCCCTATTATCTCGAAACAGAATTGAAATGCAGAAAAAAATCACAGAATTGATGGATAAAAATGCAAAACTGGAAGAAGTTATAGTTCAACGAACAGCAGAGGGTACTGAAAAACTCAACGCTGCAGCAAAAAGAATAATCGAGTTACGACAGAAGTTTTTGAAAGCAGGCTCACCATCTCAGAGAGAGATTTATTTGAAAACAACTGAACTCCAAGAGACGAAGATCAAAATTCAAGAGCTAGAATCCGAGAAAATATCACTCAGGAAGGTGATACAGGATCTTCGTCCAAAAGCAGAACGTGTGGAAGAACTTGAAAAAAAATTGAAATTAGCAAATCAAACTATTGTAAATCTTGGTGGGACTGATATGCAAGTGGAAGTATCTGGGGATGAAGTAGCTGGCTGTGATAGACAATTGGAAGATCCAATCAGTATCGATGACGAAGTGGTGAATATAGAGCAAGAGGCATTAGGCTCGAGACTCCAGGAGAATGGGGCAGCAGTCAATGGACAAGCATCAACAGCTCCAGAGTACGAGTTCTTTGATTTAACATGTGACGTCCAGGGAGGCGATAATGAAACCTCAGGGTGGAATCACACCGAACATACTCCAATACTAGTGTCGGACGATGATGATGAGTCTTCGTCGTCTTTGCAGCTTTACGAGGGTGAGGAGAATGGATATGGAGGGTGTCAAGATCATCGGATTAGGGTGGGCGACATGTATGTTCTACCTTCAGATCCAAAGTTCTTTGAGATTGATTGGTCGAAGGAGTTTGGACGTTATAGCAAGAAGAAATTTGTGTGCAGGTCATGTTCGTTTAAAGCATTAGCACGAGGACACATTGAAGATCATGCATGGGTTAAGCATCATCGGGGCAGGTTTCTATGTCCTCTCTGCCCTGCTCATATATTCTCTACCTCAAGCAGATATTTAATAACAAAACACGTGAGAGATGCCCATGGCGGAACACTTGGGGATTGACTTGTTTTTTATGTACGACAAATTAATAAATAGTATCGTTTCAGTTGCCATTTTTTTTATGACCTACTTGAAATTTTATGGACACATAATTTATGGCATTTTTCTTATAAATGAGTTTCGTAAATGTTGCTGATGAATTAGCAATTTGCTTCTGAATAGGTTTTCTTTTTTGAAATTCTTAGTTCACTATTCTGTTCTACTTCTTCATGTCATAATCAAAATTTTGCGTATTTCATTCTGTCTAATAATTCTACGTTCAAATCATCTCTCAAGACTCGAATTGATCTTCAGTCCGGGTTTAATCAGGGTTTATGCAGGATTTAGCCAGAGCTTCATGCGGGTTCTGTCAGAAGTTAGGGGGGACCATGAGTCAATATGAATAAATATTCAACATAATAGACTAGTACCGGAATTTAATAGAGATAGAGATCTTGTCTTGATATAAACAGTTCATGACGGTATTGTATAACTTGACAAGCAATGATGCTGTTCTCGCCATTTCTCCAATAAATTAAGAAGGTATTGAAATATACCTGATTTTTTGAGAACGTCTTTCGGCTCAGATTTTTTTGAGAACGTCTTTGTTTTTATCGCAGTGTAGCGTATTTGCTGGAAACTTCAGTCGGATTTCTATTGGAAATTCTATTGGTTTTTCGGCTATTTTAGTGATAATTCCCCAGCTGTTCTGCGAGCTTTCTTTCAGCAGACGTTAATGATAAAAAAAATAATGGGATTTCATCTTTCTATACAAATTATTTAATTGAGGTATTTTCTAAAGAAATTTCAGACTCACTGCAGAATGGAAGCTTTGGAATCGCTCAAATTTAAGTTTCCAATTTTTGTGTTAGTGAAACGAAATGTCTAAACATTCCGAATATGCGATTCTTACATGGTGTCTGTGTGTAAGAAGAGAGAAGCGTGTAATTCTGTATCTACGAAGAGAATAGTAAAATTAGAATTTCAAAAAAGAAATACCATTCGGAAACAAATAGCTACTTTATTAGCAGCAATAACAATGCTCATTTATTTAAAAAATCCAATTCTCTACTTATTTCTGTTTCATTGAAAAAATCAAATGACAAAAATTAGGCTATGGAATTTTTATCGAAAATACCTCAATAGAATGAGATAATGGTTGATAGAAAAAATCGAATTCTATTGATTTCTTCCATAAATTAGTCCCTATTTTTATAGAAAATATGTTCTATTCAAAAACCGCATGGGGAAGCTGCGGGATTTTCGAAATAGAATCGGCAAAAAAACGAAAAAAAAATCCAAAGTCCTACTGAATTTTTTAAACGAATGCACCACGTTTTTCTATTCATTTTTTTCATACGAGCCAACTCAATGAAAAAATTGTTTCAACATTCCGACAAAAGAATGCGCCCATTGAGATTCCATGCAGGCAAGTTGACCTTGTTTCCAGGAAATCGTAAAAAAAATCCGTAATATCCACAAAAAATAAATATTTGGAATTCATTGTCCCGCGACCGCACTAATCCCTTGAACTTATCTGGGTCATAAAACTTTTGCTAAAGAGAAAAGCAAACACGTTGTCAGACACGCCTTGTTTGGGCCAACAAAATTGCTAGTTGAAAATTGCCAAAAAAGAATTTGTTGGTTAGAATTTGAAAGTCTCAAACATGAATAATTGTTCTGCTTACGACAGCAACGAAATATTTGGCTCCAAAGGCGGATAATTCATACCAGATGGTGCGTTTTCAGGATGAAAATATCTCATGCAGAGGAAAATTCATCAACAAATATTTTATCCCTAAGTTACAAGATTGCTGTCATATCATTATTATTGTTTCATTTAAGAGTTAATTTCTTGTCTGTGATTATTGGACATCCGAACCGAAAAACTACTATCCCTTGTTTCACATAAAACAAAGATATTTCGGAAGCAAAATACGTATGGGAGTATCGAATAACGAAGGAGTAGTGCTAGAAATAATATTTCTTGAGTGTAAAGAGAATATAATTTTTTTGAACTACTAAAATTATTTTTGCGACAAAAATTTTTCATTCCGGCACACTTTCTGCATGTTTGGCACAAACAAATTCTTTATTGATAATTTTCAAAAGTAGGAAGAGGAAAGACGCAATTCTGAGCCGTCTATCTGCCTATAGAGAACCCAAATTTCCTCAGGAATCGAATGGAGTTGGCATTAACGCTCTATTAATCATAGTTTCCGATATAATCGCGAAAAACGAGAAGGCTAAAAAAAAAATTTAATTGATAATGTACAGGCTGTAGGAAAAGGAAAAACGCAATTCTGAGCCGTCCATCTACCTATAGAAAACTCAAATTTCCTGAGGAATCGAATGGAATTGGTTTTAAGGCTCCATCCATCATAGTTTCCGAGATAATCGCGAAAAACGAAAAGGCTAAAAAAAATAATTTAATTGATCTTGTACAGGCTGTAGGAAGAGGAAAAACGCAATTCTGAGCCGTCCATCTG